GATTCGTTTCCACGGTAGACAAAAGTGCCTCAAAAAAAAAAAAAAGTGCAAAAGTGGAAGGCGTGCGGAAGAGGGGGCGAGTATATAACAAACTATATTTTGAGTGGAAATGTTGGGGGGTCGTCTTATACGCCGGGTCGTCTTATACGCCGGCATATACGGTATCTTTAAACAACTTTGCCAGCTGTGCTGGCGCAAAATGCCATCTATAAAACATCTTATACAAGTGTTCTTTGTATGCAGTTGACATTGATAATTTATAGTTCCTTTCCCACAATTTTTGCCATTTATCTAATTCAATTGTATAACCAAAGTTTTTTTGCCCATACTATCATTGTTTCCTTTACTTGTCCATGTTCCAATTTAATCTATAATAGGTAGCTGTATGTTTTTTTATCAATTTTTCTTCTGCCCATTAATATCTTGTCTAGTTCTGTTAGTTCTTTATAATAATCATATAGTTTTGCATCTTTCTCACGTATCTGTACTTGTGAATACCATGTCTATCAATCTCTTGATCGCTTAATTCTTGTTTATTTTTAAATTCCCCCTACTCATTCAAAATATCTTCATATCTAACAATATTTTCTATGTTAATGACATTTGGGTGAACCAGTGGTTCCATTGTCAAAAGCCAAACTGGTATTCTCAAATAATGTTGTTCTCTATTTTGTCCCATACTAACAATAACACATTCCTAATGTAATGCCTTTGAAAGTAACCATGTATTTTATTTTCCCCATACCACAAGAAGGCAAGCCAGCCCAATTGCAAATCATGTCCCTCCAAAGTCTTCCCCCCCCCCTCAATACAATCTATTCTTTCACAGAGTGAGTACTGCAGCCTGATAATATAAATCCCAATTCGGTAACCCAAAGCCTCCTCTATTTCTCGAATCTTGCAACATTTTTAGACTTATTCTTGCTTTTTCCCCTTGCCAAATATATCTTACTTTATTGAGTTCCTCAAAATATTTTTTCCCAGTTTTATCGGAATTGTTTGATATAATAATCTTGGCAATATATTCATTTTTATTGTAGCTATCCTACCTATCAATGATAGTTGCACGTTTATCCATTTCTCCAGATCTGTTTTAATTTGTTGCATCAGTTTATAATAATTATCTTCCTTATGAGTTACAAATCTTGCTGTCAAATTAATCCCTCTTTTACTTTCTTAGTAAGCTGAATACCCATTAACTCTTTTTTCTGCATATTTGTGAGATTTTTAACTAATATCTTAGTTTGCTCTTTATTTTCAATTCTGCCATTTAACCATATTCCTCTATTTTTAATTAGTTTAGGCCCTCTTTTTGTGGATGTTCCAAAATGAAAACTAAATCATCTGCAAATGCCTGTAATTTATATTTTTCTTTTTTTATTTCCATACCTTTTTATTTCTATATCTTGTCTGATATTTCTATTTAATACTTCCAGTGGATAGTAGGGGAAAGAAGGGACATGCCTTTTTTAATATCAACCTGCTCTGTCATATCTCCATTTACCATCACCTTTGCTGTTTGCTTGTAATATATTGCCTTAATCATATTAATAAATCTCTCCCCAAAATCCATATCTTTCAACTGTGCTAACATAAATTGCCAGTTCAAATTATCAAATTCTTTCTGTGTGTCTAGGAAGATCAATGCCATTTGCTTCCCTGGATGTGCTTCCCTGGATGTACTCCAACGTGTTTAAAATTATTCTCCTATAGTATTTAATTTGTCTCTTAGGTAAGAATCCATTTTGATCTGGATGTACAAATTGATTTAAAAATCTTTTAAGGCTTTCTGCAATTATTGAGGTGTATATTTTATAATCCGCATTCAGTAACGATATCGGCCTATAATTTTTTTATCTGTTATAAGTCTGAGTCTTCTTTTGGTATGAGTGTGATGTATGCTTCCGTCCATGATACCTTCTCTTCTAACAGTACTTCATTGAACACTTCCAGCATTGGTATACTTAGGATATTTTGCAAACCTTTATAAAGTTCTTCTGGTAGACCATCTGGGCCCAATGTTTTACCATTTTTTTGGTCTCTTAATTGCTTCTGTTAGTTCCATCATTGTTATATGTTCATCTAACATGGCCTTTTCTGTTTCAGGTATTTTAGGTAATTCTGCTGTCAACTCATAAAATATTTCTATGGTCTTTTTAGAGTTGCCAACAGAAAGGGAGGGGGGGAGCAGTGGACAGCTTGCATTCCATAAATGTTTTCAAAGATAGTTTCTAGGTGACCGAAGTTTCTGCCGCGCAAAATTCTAACTATGATTGATGACTTTTGGCTATGGATGTGTCCCATTGGAGAATATGAATTAAGATACACCCAGGGGGTGGGGGGAAACCAGGGTCAGGGGTGACAATAAATGATGTGTCTCAGAGCCGGCTACACCCAGGCAGTGCCAACATGTTTACTCCTAATAAATCTTCTTTTAAGTTTTGGAAACTTTGGCTTGAGACTCATGATTTAAATGGGGGTAACTGTCAGAGCCCTGACATCCATTTTAAAGTATTGTTTTATTTTATCTTCTGAAACTGTTTCTTAGTCATATAGTTTTCCATAATAATTTTGAATCACTTTCTTTTTATTATTTTGATGGTAAAGGTTTCCTTCCTCATCCATTAATTGATGTATCAATTTTTTTTCTTTCTCCTTTTTCAATGTATATGCCAGCCATCTTCCTGGTTTATTTACATTTTCAAAAAAAATTCTCTTTAAAGAAAAAAATCTAATTCTTTCTCCATGAATTGAATAAATTCCTTGTCTTAATATTGATTGATTCAACATTCATCTTAATTTTTTTGTTTTTTCCATGTGACTTTTATTGGATTATGGTCTACCCAATTATTTATTTCTATATTCAGTTCTTGTACATTAGTTTTCAGTTCAGCTGACATCGATATCATATCTACTCTTGACCAAAACGTGTCTATTTGAATAGAATGAATATTGATTTTCCTTAGGATGTATCTCTTGTCATACATCTTGGATGCCTAGTTCTTCCACCATTTTAAGAAAGCCTTTGGAAGCATTTTCCTTGCTTTTTTGTTCACTTTCTTGGTTTTATAGTCTAGTTCCGCATCTATAATTGCATTCGAATTTCTATACAAATATTTTCATACTCCAATTCTATTATTTTCTTATGAAGTTTACTATAAAAATTCTCTTGTTTACTATTTGGTGCATAAATTGCTACCAGGAATATCTGTTTATTGTTATTTCCACCATCAAAATCCTCCCTTCTTTGTCCATAAATATTTGCTTAGCATTTATTGTTTCTTTTATACAAAGAGCTACTCCTCTCTTCTTATGTTGTGATAGAGAGGTACCATATTTTTCGGAGTATAAGACACACCTAGCTTTTGGGGAGGAAAACAAGAAAAAAAATCTGCCTCTGCCTCCCAGCAATTTGCCTCCTTGCAACAAACAGCAAACAGCCTGGTCTGCTTCAGCACAGCCTGATTAGCACAAGCAGCTGATTATCGGTTGGATCATCTCTTACTATCTCTTACTATCATTCCCTCTTGTGGTCCAAAATAATTATCATAAAATTGTTATGCTTTTTCTATGGAATCTAATCTATGTGTTTGTTCCATCCAAGTCACCAATATTCCCTCTGGTATCAGCCATCTAAATTTCTGGTATCAGCCATCTAAAATTTACTCCATTCTTAAGCTGTTTTATCAAGAATTGATATTCCCTTCTTATCTGTCTTACTCTTCTGGGAATGTTTTAGAACTACTGTTTCTTTCACTTCGTATTTTATGGGTTCATCCCTCACCCTTTGTAGTACCTCTATTTTTAGTGCTTTTTAAGTGAATTTCACATGTACCTCATTGGAAAGTCTATTTCTAAATATTTTGTCCATCTCAGCGAACACCTTTTCTTTGGATATCCCTAAGAAATTTGCCAGCAGCTCTGCCATTATCTCCCACAAAGTTTTCTCCCTTTTCTTCTTCAACGTTCTGAAAACGTAAGTAATAGTCGGCCCTATCCATTTCCAATAATATTATTCTCTCCTGATTTTTATCTGCCAATGTAAGTCTGTGAACAACCTCTTCCACTCTTTTCTGTTTGTTCGGCTTTCTCTGGTTGCGTTGTTCATTTTTAGCCATTATTTGTTGAAAACTTTCTATTTTATCTTCTACTTTTCCTATTCTTTCCTTTCCTTTTCTGGATCGATCAGGAAGTTTGCAGGCTTCCTGAGATCAGTGGAGTATGCTGTGAGTATGCTATACTCACTAAAATACTCAAATAAATGGGAGAAAATACAAATGGCTGCATATTACTACAAAAATGTTTTTGAAAACTAACCTGAAAATTAGTCATGAGTTGGGAAGGCTATTAGTTTCTTGAACCTTTAGCCCTTTCTGTAATACTGAAACACATTTTTTCACTCCCCCCCCTCTCATGCAATTGTATTTTCTCCTTGCATCATTTCCAACTAGCTTAACTGCCCTTTTCTTCTCTTCCTCATGCAACTTGCATATTTTCTGTACCTTTTTTGGCTGATTCTATCAGAAGAAAGGAAGGGAATATTGGTGAATGTACTTGTATATTTTGTGTGTGACAATGACTCGTGTGAGAATAGCTGGTTGTATAATTATTGTAGATCAATTAACAATAGGATACCTTGTTTTACAGCCAATAATTTTTATCAATAGTTATTAGCTGAATTAGTATTAATGTTTTTTGAACTACTCTTAAGTCTTTGGGGACTATATCTTCTTAGAAGCTTATGCACATATAAATTCATAAAGATCTATCATATTTAGGACTGATTTCTATGTAATTAAAACTGACAATGTGGGGAAGCTGGACATTACACATTCTTTTTGTGTACATGTACCTTTCCTGCCTATTCTTTTTTGGGGAGGGGTAAGCCATTTAAAATTCAGAATATTTTTCAAGTAAATAAATTAAATACTTAAATTAAAAATGGCTATGGATTCAAGTAGCATTTTGATAAGAACACACACATACACATATGTACTAACCAGGAAATAGTGATAAGACACTCATTAATGCTCCCACCAGCCGATTAACTGGAGAGATATAAAACAGAACCTGAAAAGAAGCAGGGAAAAATAGATCAGTAGTATACTATCTCAAAAGAAACCGGAGTATAACCGAGGCAGTCAAACTCCCCCCTTTAAAGCAGCAAAATATTTATATAGAATAGAATGAATGAGCTGGAAGGGACCTTGGTGGTTTGCTAGTCCAACCCCCTGCTCAAGCAGGAGAACCTATAACATTTCAGTTAAGTTACTATCTGGACTCTTCTTAAAAATATCCAGTAATGGAACACCCAAGATTTCTGGAGGCAAGTTGTTCCACTGATTAATTGTCCCCACTGTTAGGAAGTTTCTCCTTAATTAGATCTAGGTTGCTTCTTTCTGGTTAGTTTCCAACCATTGTTTCTTGTCCTGCCCTCCAGTGCTTTGGAGAATAATTTGACCCATTCTTCTTTGTGGCAGCCTCTCAAATACTGGAATACTGCTATCATGTAACCCCCAATTCTTCTTTTTTTAAGACTAGCCAAACTCAAATCCTGCAGCCATTCTTCATATTCTTTAATCTCCAGGCCCTTTATCATCTTAGTTGCTCTTTTAACTTTTTCCAAAGTCTCAACATCTTTTTTGTAGTATGGTGACCAAAATTGGTTGCAGTTTTCCAGGTGTGGTCTTACTATAGTTTTATAAAGTGGTACTAGTACTTCACATGATCTTTACAGATTACAGATTAACAGAGTTGGAAGGGATCTTGTAGGTCATCTAGTCCAACCCCTCGCCCAAGCAGGAGACCCTATACCATTTTTGAAAAATGGCACTCCGATCTTGATTCTATGCCTCTGTTTATACAGCCCAGGATTGTATTAGCTTTTTTTGGCTGCTGCTGCATACTACTGGATCATCCACTAGGACTCCAAGGTCCCTCTGTCTACCAATCACAATATATTACTCTGTCTTTTATATTTATTTTTTACCATTATCATTTTAATGCTTTTATTTGCTGGTCTGTGACCATAATATTGATTGGTTGATGATGATTGATGATGATCAGTAGTATATATTTACCTATATTTCTGCCATTTTTAATATAGATGTTATAATATACCACCTGTATAATAACTACAAAAATATGTTGCAATCTATATTATTACTTCTTGAAAAATTATGAAACTAGACCTTGCATTCTATGGCTTAAAGTAATGTGATGGTTGATAAAAGACTGAGTAAGATTTTGGGTCCTTGTTTGTGACATGATAATGTTTATTCCATTTCTTTGACTAATTAAGCAATATATATTTATCTAAAAAGAGAAAAATCAGAGATTAATCTACATAATTATAGTCTATGTACTGTGCTCTCTATTCCAAGCCGTAAGAGTAGATATGTTATATATTTTCAGTATACAATATAAATATAACTACATATATATTATAAATTAAACATAAATATTTACATAGATCTGTTCTCTGGCAGTTTCTTGATTTCAACAGTTTCTCGTTGGTGCTATCTATATGCCAATTTTATTTCCTCTTTTAATCTATATTTTTCATGTTTTACTGCCTACCCATTGATACCAAATATTCCAAATTGAGTAAAATTCTGAGTCTTCTTTATCATTTAATTTCATTGTGAGACTATCCATTTCTGCACATTCCAGGATTTTACAACTTATAACTTCCATCAGACGGAATGGTAGACATCTTTCAAGCCTGCGTTAGGTCAATTCTTGCCGCCGTTATTATGTGTATAATCAGATATTGGATCTTTTGGGGGTATTTCTCTTTAATGATTCCCAGGAGAAATAATTCCGGCTTCCACTCCAACCTGCAATGGATAATTTCCTCTATGTTTGTATCTTGGTCCAATATTTTTTAATTTCTGGGCACGGCCATCAGACGTGGAAGAAGGTGCCTTGTGTTCTCTTACACTTCCAAAAGTTTGGGTTCAGCTTAGGATAAATTTTCGCTAATCTGGATGGCGCCAAATGCCAATGATAAACCATTTTATATACATCCTCTTTATATGCAACTGACTTTGTCAAGGAAAAAAAATGATGCCAGATTTTTCCCCAATCTTCTAAATCCAAACCCAGGCTAACATGGTTCCTTTAACAATTTCCTCTTCTAAGTCAAAATTTAATAGATAATTGTATATTTTGGATATTGTTTTTTCTTCTGATCCTAGTAATAATTTTTCTAGCTGGGTTTCTTTCATTTCAAATCCAAATTCTTCTAGATCTTTTTTATACCTCGCCTGTACTTGAAGGTATGGCCACCAATCTATATGTATTCCCCGTGTTTCTAATTCTTGACTTGCTTTAAGTCTTCCTTGATTATCCAAAATTTGGTAATATTTGACTTTTTTACTGATATCCAAAGTATTTGGGTGGATCATTGCCTCCATGGTGGACAACCAACCTGGAATTTGGGTATAGTGTTTCTTCCTAATTTCTTCCCAGATATTTATCAACGAATCTTGTAAAACGTACCTGTAAAAGTAGCAGTGGTTTTTGTTCCTGGGGTTCCATATGAAGGCATGCCACCCTATTTGTATATCATATCCTTCTAATATCAAGATTCTCCTATTCTCTTGATCCAATCCTTAATCCATATTAACGCTGCTGCTTTGTAGTAAGTCTCCCATATTGGGAGTCCAAAGCCACCTCTGCTTTTGCTATCCTCTAAGTAAATTGATTTTATTCTTGCTTTTTTCCCTGTCCATATACATTTCATAGTTATTTTGTTTAAATCCTTAAAAAGGTTTTGTATAATTTTATGCGTATAGTTTAGAACAAATATAACAATTTGGGTAAAATATTCATTTTAATTGTAGCTATTTTTCCTAGAAGTGAAAGCTGTAATTTACTCCATTTATCCAAATCATTCCCTATTTGCTGTATAAGTTTTATATAGTTATCCTTTTTAAGGCTGAACTTTTCACCCTTAATCAATTACCTAGATATTTGACTTTTTTTTAAATTTGGAGGCCCATTACTGCTTCCGATTCCCTTTTATCTTTCATGGTCAGGTTTTTGACTAGCATTTTAGTTTTATCTTTATTAATTTTAAGGCCTGCTACCTCACCAAAGTTTTCTATTTCCTGCAACAGTATCGGTCCAGATTCCAATGGATCTTCAATAATGAATGCCATATCATCAGCAAAGGCCTGCAACTTATATTCCTCTTTTATAAGTTGGGTTCCTTTTATTTCCTTATTTAATCTGATTCTTCTTAATAAAGTTTCTAATGTCAGGTTGAAAAGCAGGTGACAATGGACATCCCTGTCTAACTCCTTTTGTTATTTCAAATGAATCTGTCATTTCCCCATTTATTAAAACACTTGCCTTTTGAATAGAGTAGATAATTTCTATCACATTCTCAAATCTTTCTCCAAAATCCATTAATTTGATCTGTTGGGTCATAAACTCCCAGTGTACATTGTCAAATTCTTTTTGCGCATCCAGGAAGACAAGTGCAACTTGACTTCCTGGGTGTGTTTCATAATATTCTAATATATTAATTATTGTTCTTGTGTTATTCCTAATTTGTCATGTTGGGAGAAATCCATTTTGGTCAGGGTGTATTCTATCATTTAATATTTTCTTTAACCTATTTGCCATAACACTCATAAACACTTTATAGTCAGCATTTAGAAGGGATATCGGTCTATAGTTTTTAATTTGCTTAGTGTCTGACCCCTCTTTTGGAATCAATGTGATATAGGCTTCCTTCCACGAATCTGCTTTTATCAATACCTCATTACAAACTTCTAGTAACAATATTTCTACAAATTCTCATATATTTTGTAAAGTTCTCCTGGTAGACCATCCGGACCTGGGGTTTTATTGTTTTTTTGTCTTCTAATTGCTTCCTTTAATTCAATTAGTGTTATTTCCTTATTTAATATTTCCCTTTTTTCTTCTAATAATGGGGGTGGCATTTCTCCTTTCAGATATTCAACTATTTTTTTCCATTTCTATCTTTCCCTGAGTGTATAAATTTTCAAAGAATTCTTTTACAATTTCTTTTTTCGTATCCATGGTAATTTCCTCAATTCTATTCTTATCTAGTAATTGGTATATAGTTCTCTTATCTTCCTTTTCTTAATTTAAAGGCCAACCAATCTGCCAGGTTTATTTGCATGTTCAAAATTATTTTGTTTTGTATATTTTAAATTTCTTGCTCTAAAATGTTCAATTTGTGTTTTGTTAGGGCCAATTTGTTTTTAATTTGCTCTTTCCCCGGTTCTTTTTGTAATTTATCTTCTACTTTGTTTATCTCCCCCCACTAATATATTGTAATTTTGCCATTTTTCTTTATTCCTCTTTGCCATATAAGCTATTGTTATTCCTCTCAAATATGCCTTCATTGTATCCCATAAATTTTGTAATGAGGTATTCTGGTTTTTATTATCTTTAATAATTTGAATTCTTCTGATTTTTTTGGGATTTATTCTTTTTCTTTCAGAATTTGTGCATTTAGGGTCCATCTGCCTCTTTTCCTCTTCTGTCCTTTCCATATTATTTTGAGGGGATTATGGTCAGCCCAGATATTTGGCATTGTTTCTATTCTTTCAATATCTTTGATTAAGTCCCCATTTACCCAGGCCATGTCTATTCTTGAACAGGATTTATGTGGGTTGGAGTAGAAGGTGAATTGGGTTTCTCCTGGGTTCAAGGTAGAAGGTGAATTGGGTTTCTCCTGGGTTCAAGGTCCTCCATAGATCATTAAATTTAGTTCAAAAAAGGTTTTTGATAGTATGTTTCTTTTGTATTTACATTTTTGCTCAGTATAGTCTTTTCAGATGTCTACAATTGTGTTATAGTCACCAATTACACACACATTTTGGTTTCCTAATTCAATAATTTTATTGTGTTTATTTTTGTAAAACTCGCTTTGATTTTTGTTGGGTGGATATATCCTACCAATAGTATACCTTTTCTTCCCACAAATAATTCCACTATTAAAATTCTTCCTTTTCTGTCTGTATATACTAATTTTGATATTATTTCTTCTTTAATGTATATTGCTGCCTTTCTCTTTTTTCTTCTGCTAA